CTTGGTTGCTGCCTCGATCATAATTCGATATTTGCATAATTTCATAATTCCAATACAATAACCAATTGTCCGATCAGTCCACTGATAAACCAACTACCATCCATGCGTTCCATCCCGTTGCGAGAATCAATAAAATTGCTAGCCATATATCAAGCATTCATACATATCTGCCCAAATGCTAAGCCCATTAAACCATAGAACGAGTTTCAATCCGCACAGAGAGAGGGCAGGGAGGAGAGCAGCCAAAAAGGGGTAAGGTAATGAAGACATTACCGAAACACACACAATTAAAAACACACAAGACATTTGTCAGATGGAACCAAACAGACAACAAATCAAAGACCGAAATACAGTAGAAGAACTTTTTCACTTCCAAATGCCCCTGAGAAATTAGCGAAACAAGTTTTATTGACTTTTCTTGCTTTCGTTTCCCCTTCCTCCAAATGAATTTCTAATTTTTCGCAAATGGCAAATGATTATTTGTGTGCTGTATAGGAGAAGCATTCGATGAGCTATACGTAGGGATTTTGGGGAGAGGTTTCCGATTTCCAATAAAAAACTCTCTAAATAAAATAATAGCAAAGAATTCCCTTTCATTTTCAAGACATTCCGCAGTTCCTAAACATGTCTAGATAATAATAGATCCAAGCAATTAGTATCTGAGGGAAAATTTGTTGTAAACAATAAACATTTTCCACCTTATTTTTATATAACAAATAACAAATAATAATGGTGGCTCCTCCTGCTGCTGCCCGTCGTCATCGAAGCTATTTTTACAGCCAGTATTCGTGAATACTCGTATTCGTATTATAATGAAACTTGAATAGTCATCGAATATAATGAATACATCTCAAAACCATAGCAGCAGACTCGAACTCAAAGGCGATCCGATCCGATCCGATCTCCGATCCCCGATGTGTGTGATGTGATGTGATTCATTGGTTTATCTGAAGTATTATGCCCAAATCTGTGGCTTGTAAGCCATCAATTTACTAATTGTAATGTTGGCCATTCAAGTATTTAACAAAATAAGATGAATTCGTGGCTTAATCTGGCGTATCTTTGTAGACGCGTCCAACTTGGTGTAGGGATCGACAAAATGTAAATTTTTCACACATAATTACAATAACAATAACGATGTGGCTGGCAAAAAAAAACAAAATGATCTGGGGGTCCAGTGTTTTGGCTGCTTTGTTACCGACTAACCTAAGTCCGAGCTGTTAAATCAAAAATATGCAAATTAGTTTTGAGAGCGAACACGAGTCTAAATCCGAGGCGCAAGTTCGACTCTGGGCTTGGACCTGTGCCTGTGCCTGTCCGTCTGCCCATCTCTGAGGGTGATTGATATGTGCTGGTTATACAGTCGTTTGGTCAAAATGATGCAATCAAATCTATGTAAATGCGAAACGAGTTGACTTCTCTGACATTTTGAGGCCTGATATACGCAACGGACGGGGGGAGCTCGTACTGCCTGGCATAATTTAGTAGCTAGCTAACATTTCCGTCTGTATTTACTTTTGGTTTGCATCTATTTACGACTTTTGGGCAATTAAGCGAAGTTGAAAAGTCAAAAAGTCAGCTCTGTTACACTCTATTTTTTATTGTGTTTTTTAAGCGTTGACCGTTTTTTAGCAGCCTCCTTGCACTGGAAAGGAACGTGTGTGTGCTAAAAACTAGCGACCTTGACGCTGTTTTCCCTGGAAACTCATTTTTTACGCAACTCTACGCAGCAATTGACTTTTTTATATGAGGTCCTGGACATGAACTGAGGCCCTGTGCCGTGTCTCAAGGTGAAACATTTGTGAGCATGTGATACCAACGGTCGGTTTTATCCCTTTTCCACTTAAAAAACTGTGTAAATGGGTGGATGGGTGGACTGTTGGGTTGCTCTGTTTTGGCGCGGGTTACGGGCAACTGCTGCTCGACTTTTTATGGTTAGGACGCAGGCCGACCAGCCTGACTTTATGACTCCTCCTCCCGTGCCTATGCCCGCGGCCGTGTGCGTGGCCGAGCGTCTCGTCGCGTTTAGGTTACTTTTTAGGCCAATTCTTGTGGCTACCTAAGCTCGCGATTTCGTTACCTAATCGCGGGATCAGCTTACCTAAGCTGCAGATTATCCTAGGATCATAATTATGATGATGCCCGGTGACCGGTGACCGGTGCTCGGTGTCCGCCGACGCGACACTCAACTCGTCGTCTCCAGAGTACGTACTCCCGCGGCTGGTTTTTTGTTGCCCACTCTCTCTCGCTCTCTCTCTCTCTCTCTCTCTGAACGACCAACGGCTGAAAGCGGCAAAAAACTTAAGCCAGGGGATTAAACCGGATTAAAGTCACATTGTCCTTATTTTTTTCGTTCTGTTTCTTTTGGTTTTTATGCCCCTCCTCTCCCTCCTTTCGGGCTAACTAATTACTCGGGGAAAATTACCCATTTGCGGAAATTCGCGAAAACGTTTGTGTTTTTTATATTTTTAAGAGAATTTTTCGCAAGACGCTGCTTCATTTTTTTATGGTGTGTGAGAAAAGCAGACAGCGAACCAGACAGAGAGTCAATAAAAATGAATCGATTAGAAAAGAAGAAAAAAAACACGGTGGAAAGGTTCAACAGAAAGAGAGAGGAAGATAGCTCATTTCGAGGAGGGTTCTAGATGTTTTTTGACTTTTTTGCAAGCCTTTGTTGGCACTTTTTTTACATGGAAGAGCCTCCGGTTGATGCAACAGAAACTAAACTACAGAATCTTCCAGGAATCCACTCCCTAACGATGTTTTTTACATCAAAAAGTACATTCGATATGGCCAAGATATAAACCTAAAATCGGCTTAGATACTCCCCAGGCTATATAAATTGCCTAATTATAAAGTCAAGGATGTTCGCATCTCCCACTCAGCGAACCCTTTCCGGGCACAATGCAGTTCCATAAAAGGGTTAAGGCGCACAAAGGAAAAAGGCTTCATAAAAGGGTTAGGTTGATGTGTGTGGTGTGGAACAGGTAGCTCCTAACTTCCTTTTTGGCTCTCATAAAAAGAGTTAAGTGCTACCATAAGGTTCTTTTGTATGCACAAAATAGGAAATGAAGCTGCAAATTGACTTTAGTTTGTGGTCAAACATGGAACTAAAATATTATGAAGCCTTCATTGGGTAATTTACATAGGGAATTGTTGGAGTTAAAGTAGAGTTATAGTTCCTCTATGAATTTGTTGAAATATCTGCCAATTATGATGAAAAGTAGTTTCCATGAGCTGTGTCAGAGATGATTCATATAGCGGTTATCACATAAAATCCTAGATCAATCGTAGTTTCCTCAAAGTAAACCCCCCACATGCACCGACGGATCTTCCATGATATTTTTTATAACAAAATCGGAAAAAGCCTCCTCCAACCATTTCGATTTTCAGAGCGATCGTAAAGGCCCCGCCCCATGTTAAAAATGAAGTCAATAGCATTCAGAGAGTGTGAGTGAGTGCGAGAGATACAATTCCAGACGCCCTTATAGCCATATAGCATGTGAGTGGAAGTGGAGTGTCTCTTTAATAAATAACCGAATAACGAATAATATCAGAGCAATGCAAATAGAGCTGCTCCCCACAGAGTGAGAGCGAGAGCTGTTCACATCTAACAGCAGAGCCTTAACAGTGGCCCAACAGCGACTTAACATTCCACTCAATGACTGGGTGTGTGTGTGTGTGCGTGTGTTTCGAATGCTCTCCGGATGTTCCGCTCTCGATCTCCGCTTTGCTGTTGATGGTGTGGTGAGGCTCTGCAGTGGTGGTTGTTTGATCGTGATTTATCAGAGAGTGAGAGAGAAACGGGTAAACGCCGCATCAAAGTGTTTGTGTGGCTGGATGGCTGTGTGCGTGTACATAAGGCTGCAGAGTTTTGGGCCAGTACGGGGCGACACGACACACAGAAATGCTTCTTGCCAGAGACGGGTTTAAGCCAGAAATCAGTCGCAGCTAGTGGCCCGAAGAGTCAGTTACAGAGACACTACACACCGAAAGAGTAGACCAGAGACCAGAGCGCGTTACGTACTGGAAGTGCCTCTCGAATATCATCGCATATCGTGTGTGTCGCAAGCGTCAAGAAATCAATCAGATCAGCGGAAAGAGACTGAACCGAAAAAAGTGAGAACCAAAATTTAAATCAGAGAAATCAGAGAAAAATCTAAAGGAAAAACTCAGTGAACAAAAAGTGGAAAAAGTGCTGCTGCATCCACACGTGCAATTAAAAATTCATAATACAACAAAAACACACACAAGTTACAAATCTACAACAACCCAACACACAACAAAAACTAAAGGTAAGTTTTCCTCTTCTTTGGGAAGATCTTTTGGGAATGAGAGAGCGAGAGCCTTAGAGGGAGACACCAAGCAAAGTCAATTCACGTTTTTGTATTCCTTTTTTTTTTTTGGGTCGCGCCCGTCGGCAGAGCACATTTTTATGATCTCTTGCACTACTTTGATTTTTTACAGTTTCACGCGAAAAACATTTCCATCTCTTGTGTAGTTTGTTTTTTTTTTTTGGCACACAGAACAGAATTTTCATATTTTCGGTTTATCTTCGTTTTTTTTCTTCTTTCTGTTTGTTGACTCTCGAAATGTGTTTTTATGGCCAGACGTCAAGGTCTGGACTGCTGTTGCATTTTTTTAAGGGAAATGTAATGGAAATTGCACAGGCCCCGTACTGCCCTGCCGCGTAATGACTTCATCTATAAAAAAAAAAACAGTACATACTGAGAGGGAGGGAGGGAAACTTGCTACCTGAGTTTTATGACTGGACAGCGCGAAAAAATGAAACTCTGAAAAATGAACGCATAGTAGGGTTGCATAATCCGGCAGCTTAAGTTTTTTGCCTGTCGTAAAAAAATGCCTTCGAGGATCGCAGCGTAGAGTCTTTTCTGTACTACTACTATAAATGTCCTGTGCCGTTGAGAGTCAGCATCAGTTGCTTAGCAGCGTCCCAAACGAACAGATCGCAGCAGCAGCGTCCTCTCTCAGAGAAGAAAAAGTGCCGAAAAATTTAACGAGAACAAAAGAGTGAAAGAGAAAACCGAACTCCTGGCAAGATGGTGTTCAATTTGGTTAGTGTTCAGAGCGGCAAACGTGCGACAACTCACTCAATGGATTACCAGTGGATTAAACCCTTACTAACGATGGATTTCTCTCTCTCTCAACTAATTACAGATGAACCAGACATGCAAAGTGTGCGGCGAACCGGCGGCGGGCTTCCATTTTGGAGCCTTCACCTGCGAGGGCTGCAAGGTAAGTTTCTATCGCATGAAAAAACTGAATGAAGAATGAATGAATGAGGAATGGGACTGCAAAATCCCTGCTCGTTCTGCTCTTTATCGAATGCCACAACTAACCCCTTATTTTCCTCATCTTCTCTCCCATTTGCAGTCATTCTTTGGCCGATCTTACAACAATATTAGCACCATCAGCGAGTGCAAGAACGATGGCAAGTGCATCATTGACAAGAAGAACCGCACCACCTGCAAGGCCTGCCGCCTCCGCAAGTGCTACAATGTGGGCATGTCCAAGGGCGGCTCGCGGTACGGCCGCCGCTCCAACTGGTTCAAGATCCACTGCCTGCTGCAGGAGCACGAACAGGCCGCCGCTGCGGCCGGCAAGGTACAGTCCGCGGGCGGAGTCACCTCCTCGCCTGTCGGCTCCCCACACACACCTGGATTCGGGGACATGGCCGCAGCCGCCGCCCATCTGCATCACCAGCATCAGCAGCATCAGGCCCAGGCCCAGGCCCAGCAGCAGCAGCACCAACGCCACCCACACATGCCCCTCCTGGGGTATCCCAGCTACCTGGCCGAGCCCTTCGGCGCCCGCCATCCCGCCGATGCCGCCGCTGCAGCGGCCCTGCCCTTCTTCAGCATGATGGCCACCCCCCAGTCGGCCTTCCAACTGCCCCCGCATCTGCTCTTCCCCGGCTACCATGCCAGTGCGGCGGCTGCAGCGGCCGCGGATGCCGCCTACCGCCAGGAGATGTACAAGCACCGCCAGAGCGTCGACTCGGCCGGTTCGGTGGAGTCCCAGAGCCGCTACACACCGCCCAGTGTGGCAGCAGTGCCCTCGCCCCCAGCCCGCCCACAGACTCCCATCGATGTGTGCCTGCAGGAGGAGGATGTGCAGTCCGTGCACAGCCATCACAGTCTGCACAGCCATCACAGTCACCACAGCCAGACGCTGATGCATCCCATCGCCATCCGTGCTACACCCACCACCCAGCTGTCCGTGAGCCACCCCTCTACGCACCACTCCAGCCCCATTCCCATGGCCAAGTCGCAGAGCAGCAGCCCCCTCAGCTTTGCCGCCAAAATGCAATCCCTGTCGCCCGTCTCCGTCTGCTCGATTGGCGGTGAGACCACAGTGCACCAGCAGCTGGAGAAGCCGCAGCAGCAGGAGCAGCCGCAGCAGAAGCAGCCCGCTTCCACAGTTGCCCAGGATGGACCCATGGACCTCAGCATGAAGACGTCGCGCAGCTCCGTGCATAGCTTCAATGACAGCGATGCCTGCAGCCTGCAGGACGAGCAGGAGCAGGCGCCGCGTCGCAAGTTCTATCAGCTGGAGGCCGAGTGCAGCACCGCCAGCAGCAGCAGCAGCTCCATCCACACCTCCTCGTCCTCCTCCAGCGAACACGAGGCCGTCAAGCGGCAGAAGCTGGGCGGTGGCCAGGAGGCGGTGGTGTCGTCTCCCTTTGGGGCAGCCACAGCGGCGGCACGCAGCGGCTTCGCGGTGGCCCACAATGCGGCCAGTGCGATGCGCGGTATCTTTGTGTGCGTCTAAGCGGATCGATCGTTGGAGCGGTGGGAGGAGCCCCAGTTCCCTCTCCTCGCCCCCCTCCACCCTACACCACTTGTTGTTGATTTTTTAGTGTATTTTTTTTTGTTAAATGTTAATTTCATGTGCGGGCCTCACTCGCACACGAGACAGAGACAGAGAGCAACAGAGACAGAGATGGCGATAGACTGGTTTGCTGGAAAGAGATGCCCAGATAGTTGCATCGCACTCTCTCTCACACTCACACACACACACACACACACATGTACTCGTACTCGAACACCTATTGAGAGCTCAAATCCAAAAATTATTTTTACAGCCAGAGAAAATGTTTCCCCTTTTACCCAACCCAAACTCCTTGAAAAAGAAACTGTACATAATGTATCTTCATTTTGAATTGTATCCAAGAGGAAGTCTAGGATCTATAGTATAAACAAAAGTGAGAAAAGTAGCAAGAAAATAAGTCCCGACCCGACCCACACCCTCAAAATGCTATTATTGTACATAGAAATTGTCATGTCTAAGGTTCGATCTTAATTCTGTGCTAAGTATTTTATTATATATTTTTATATTTGTAGTTTTAGTTGTAGTTACTATATACATACGTATCTATCTATATAGATTGGCTTTTAATTTTATGCATCAAAAGAAAATAATAAAAATTATTATGAAAATTTAAATTTTCAAATTATTTTAATATTTATTTTTTGGGCTGTGAACATCACACAGCTTAGGTGTGAAAGGATACAAATTTGAATGTGTTTAAAGATACTTTTCATATACAGAGACATCATTTATTTGGAATATAATAGCAGATATAATCGCATATCTTCGAATACTTGAAAGCAGGATACTTTTTGGAATGGAAACGGTGTGATTTTCGTTGAAAATTCCATCAAAATGATCAGTAAATAAGATCCTCTCATTCAAAACTGTTCTTAGACTCGTGCTCATTCTGTTTGGACTTTAAGTATCTCTTGCGTTGATTGTACTATCAAAATAACGATCAATTAAGATATTTTCATAGCTAAAGAAGAGCTTTTCATGCCCCTTTTTAATTAAGAAATATATATCTAGGTATGGTGTATGCCTGTCAGGTCTCTTCTGTCCATAGCTAGCTATCGGATGTATCTATTTGGCTGTCAGCAGCTGAGTTTGTTCTTTGGCTACCGCACAACATTCTTAGGATCAAAGCTAATAAATTATATTGGTATTCAGCCGCCATTCCATTCTTTTATCAAAATCAGTGCTGCTCCAAACCAAATATCCAATCTGATCGGGCGAGCGGTGTCTTTACTCTAAACACGGGCCAAAAACAGGGGCGGGGCCTGTCAATGGCAACACCAAAAAGCGAATGCTTTGGCATAAATTCAATCAACATTTTGTTGCAAGTCGATCGACCAACCGTCCGACCGACCGATGCCCGATGGTCGATAATAAAACCGATATAGCAGGCCGTTAAGTGCCTGCCTTTTGTCTCTGTCTGTCCGTGTCCGTCTGTCTGTCGTGCTGCCTATTGCAATCGATGGATGGATTGCTGTAAATTATAAATGCCACAAATGTTACGCACAGATATTTGTCGTTCGGTTCGGTTCGGTTCGGTTCGACTCGGTGACTTCTACTATTTGATATGCTGTGGTCATGAGCATTAGGCCTATGGGTCGGATCCTATATGGCCCAAAGAGTGCGTTAGCCATCCCTGGAGCAGAGCAAGAGCACTGGCAACTGTCGAGTGGCGACCGACCGACCACGTGCTGCTTCAAATAATAAACTTTATATTAACACATACAAAAGTCATACGCCTCGTTGATGGCCAGAATTTTAATCACTTAATTAGGGAGTCAGTGAGGCAGCGAGCAGCCAGAAGCAGGGCTCCACCGAACGGCCCAAAACTTTGTTTATGGCCCGACGTACCCGACTGTGCCCCGTAAAGTGAATTCAATACGGCGTTGAATGATGAATGAGACAACTCGCAGCGACACGAGAGAGCCTAGGCACAGGATTCGGTCGGTAAGTATCTTGGATGCAGAATCGGGCATTACATTACGATTATATTCACCGATTCTGACTTCTGGCCATGTCAGATATGTTGACGCCTTAACGGATGACAATAAACCATCAAAGCAGGCCAGGGGGGAGGGCTTGGGAGCTGCCACATATCATCAATATGCATAATGGAGCAGCTAGAGTGGGGATGGAGGAGGAGGAGGCGGAGGCGGAGGCAGCGCACGCCATGCCATTGTGCGTTTTGACCGCCTGACAATCATCGACTGACGATCCACATTCCAACGTGTGTTTTGTCGTCATTGTTTCTAAATTTATTTTTATAGTTTATTAAACAGTCATAGTAAATAAACAAAAGAAAAAGCGACAGTCAGTCAGACAGAAAATAAATAAATAAAAAAGGGTTTAGGCTCAAGAAAAGAAAAAGCTACAAAAAGTACATTAAACTTTAGAAAATCAATTAAATTGGGAAAATAAATGTGAAGGATTTATGCTGAAGATGTGAACAAATTAATGATAACTAAAAGAATGGATCCATCACCCATCTCTTATATATTCTACAATTATTTGCTTGAATTTAGAGAAATTTGCAATTGAATTGAATTTAATAATTTAATTATAATTAAAAGGGATTCGAGCTAGTCCACACCGTGGACTCCACAGCCATAAATAAATAGCAAATAAATGCTTTTCTCTAACAATTTCTCTCCCCGCGCCTAAAGTTCGTTCTCCAAGTCTTTGGTTTTTCTTTCAGCCATAAAATGGAATAAATTAAACCATTCCCATTAAAGGCATCCGAGCTAAGCCCACATTCTAAGCTAAACAACTCTTTAAATCCGATTTCAGTGGTATATCAATATCATTCGTCAAGTCTCTATGGCCCCTCCACCTGCCTCTCTCGCTGTCGTGGCTGAAAAAGTGGTTCATCTCATCTCATCGCGATCGCCTCCCAATCTCTCTCCAATCAAAAAGCCATTTAGACGAAAAACGATAGACACAGAGAGAGACACGCAAAGCGGGGGGTTACAAAATAAAATCGAACCAAAAAGTATAACATTTCAAAATTTTATTGACTGTCAAAAAGGCAGGCCCAGGCCCGGGGCAGGCGCCACATCGATGGGCCCATCATGGTCGCTGGTTGTGTGTAGACAAGCGGGTTGGAGGATCATATTACGATCGATACTCATGGTACATGGCGCCAAAGAACGCTTTCAAGATGCTTTATTGATGCTCTACCCCCCCATTCTCAATCTAACAACAGGTGAGTCGTTGTCTGTGGCTGGCTGGCTGTCTTGCTGTCCGTGTGTGTAAGTGTTTGAAAGATGCATTACTAATGGAGGAGTTCCGTGGAGCAGCTGGAGACAAAGACTGTGCCGGACTCTGCGACAGCGTCGTCTGAGCACATCTTTAAAAATAGTTCAAGACGCGAAGCGAAGCAGCACCTGCAGCAGTCGCTTTTTAATTATTTATCACCGTTCGCAATGCTAATGCTAATGTTCCCTCAGCTTTCAAATGAATGCATGCAAAGCATATATCGTCGTATAATACACGGAGGAGACGTAAGAACATGTTTATGAAATTAAATTAAATAATTGCAACCCCAGTGGAGTGGCTGCAAAATTTGCATTTTAAGAACTCTGACAATGGAATGGAAGAGAGACAATATACATAGAAATGCTCGTATGTGGAAATATAATGGCAAATATTATTATTGACACATTATAATGGAAACATGTTTATGCACAAATTTGCATTAAATTTGTTGTTGAAAAGGCAAACGTCGTCATACACCCAGCGACTGTGTGTGTCCGGTAGCGGCCTTAATCACTTCTCGAGAGAGACTTCTTTATGCAGCCCCCAAAGGCAGCGGAATGGGGCGTGTTCTTAGCAAATGCCACAAATCACTGACAAATAGTCAAAACGAGTACTAGTTTGAGTGCGAGTGCGAGTGCGAGTGCGAGTATCTATCTAGCTGTGTGATTGCCAGTCAGAGATCATTAAAGTTGAAGAAGCTTTAAGAATTCAGGAAGTTTTGCTGCTAGGAACAAACATTCATGGCATTCCATTCCCAATCGTATACAGATACTCGTATGCATTTGTTATCCCAAGCATCCATCGGTTGATGGACAATTCCATTGTTCTTGCTTCCAGCAAGACATTAACCCACTTAAAGCTGGCCAAGAGCAAATCACACGGCACTTGGCAAATACCCCGCACAATATCTGGGGCTCATCTTTATTGATTTTCGATTCCCACCTTTAACCCCGCTCTCTCTCTCTCTCTCTCTCTCTCTGTCTCTCTTGATCCATGTAGGCGCTTGGCTCACACGAGATCTGCAAAAACTGAAGACGCCAAAAGGGATTCCCAAAGTCAGGCTCTGGCCTGTAGCTGTAGTCCGTAGCTGGCGCTGGTAATTAGTGATCTGGTGCACTTGATATGCACCTTAATTTAAACATTTCGTACACACCCAGCCGGGGCACGCATTTCGGATGGATGTTCTCCTTCTCTCTGTCCATTTGTGGCCCTTTTACCCAACGACTCGTGGAGTACGAGTCCCTGCCTTCCCCTGTGTTCCCCATCTCTGGTCTCTCCTCTGGACAAGTTCTGCGTGTAGCGCATGCCGTTCGCTTGTTCTTTTCTGGCCTTTTGTTGCGGCTCATTCCCATTGCCATTCCCATTCTGCCCCCGTTCCCCGTGCCCTTCTCTTGTGCGCCGTGTTCTCGTTTAAACGTTTATTTAACTTAAACGAACTTTGCGTGTCGATTAAAGTGCTGCGATTAAGGTACGACCTGATCCGGTCTGGTCTCTGGTGCTTCTCGTATCTGTTTCGTTCATTCGGATTCATTCCTGTGTGTGTCTGACCCATCAATAAGAGGTATATCGAGTCCAACATCAAGTGGAGAAGGTTTACTTCTTCCATTCTACTCTCAGTACATTTCACTACCTCCAGGGTAACCTTTGGGTCCATCAATTGCCATTTCTTCGTACATTTTCAGTTCATTCTTTTGCTCTGCAGAGGCGCATGCGTGTCCAGTGAACTTACAGGTCAGGCATACGCATGCCAACGATAAAGCAGCATCCTCCATGATCATCATGATCATCATCCTGAATCGTAATGACCAGAATGACCTAACCCCCAGACCCAGAGCACCACCAGACCAGACCAGACCAGACCAGACACTGTTACAGCTGCATAAATCCTTTCGTGGACTTTCTCTCTGTTGCTGTTTATGTTGCTGCTGCTTCTGCTGCTTCTGCTGCTGCATCTTTACGACAAATTTGCCCATTGTTCTGTTTTGGTTGCTTGATGATGTCCTTTTGTCTTCGTTTACGGTGTGTATTTGGCCCCCGACAGCGAATACAGAGGAGTGAAGAGGGAGAGAGAGGACCGCACACCGCACACCGCAATCCACAATATTAATTTGTGCATCCAGCACCTCAAACATTTACGAGGACAAAACGCCTAACGAACTCCTCCAACTCCAACTTCACAAAGTGAAGAACAGAACAAAATCAACTCGATTCTGGTCTGGTCTGGACCTCTCCTTCTCCCTCTTGCCTGATCCTTATCGTCCAACGGCCCGGGCCTGTATCTGGTTGCCTGA